AACTCAACTCCTCCCAGTCCGGCAGATCGACGACGGCCTCTGGAATTCTGCGCTTCTCTTCCTCTTACTCCTTATTCTTCGTCGCTTTTGTCTTCGATTCCTACTATAGATTGGACACAATGGTTTATATCACATCGTGGGACGATTTCGTGGAAAAATCCGTCCAATGTTTCGTGCCGATCCCGAGAGGGTAATGGTTTTTCTTTTTTTGTCGGTTTTTCTTGCTTTTGACTGTAAATTCTCCTAAAATCAACGTAGCAATTTTTTTGTAATTGGGATGCAGACACGATATGCCATGAAATACAGACATTGCGACGGTAAATTGGTTCTCAAGGTCACTGATGATAAAGAGGTACTATTAAATACTTTTTAATCCCAGTTAATCTTCCAGATTTTTTTGTATGATGTATGGGTACGAATGTTTGTGTTATATTTCAAGTAATATATGCTTTATGCTGTTGTGGGAAATTACTGTTATGCTTACAGTTGTGTTTGTGTTTTGATGATTTTGAATGGTTGTAGTCTTAATGGGATCTAAATTAACATTGAACGAAATAAGAAGAAATATATGAAATTATTTAACTTAAATGAACGTACAGTGCATGATCGAAATAAATGGCGAAGGCGGACTTATAGTTGACCCCAAATGATTGGGATATAAGGCTAGGCTTGGCTTGTTTGGTTTGGTTTAGTTTGGTTTTGGTTGTAGTCTTGTGCTCCTGTTAAGGGCAGACATATCTTGTACTAGTTTTATAAGGAAACCAGAAGCTGAGGTTCCCTCCATAGCACGAAAAAAGAAAGAAAGAATGATTGTAGTCATGCACTACGATTAGTTCTATTGGGATAAGATATGTTTGACCTTATTATTGATAATGTGGTCACTGTTAAAGTGTCAACATTTTGTGTAATTCTTTTGTTTAATTTTTCCATGGTTTGTGAATGGTTTCAATTGCATGCTAGTTTTTAGTTTTGTATCATTGAAGGGTATGTGATCCCTTTGTTAAGTAAATCTTAAGGAATAAGTTGGGATTGAAGCCTATGGGAGTTTATTGTTCAATATTGAGCTTAGCTGTATTCTTTTATATGTTGGCCAGTAGAACCACGGACCAGAAATATTAGAATATCCGTCCTCTCCTCTCATGAACTAATGCTAAAAAAATGAAGGTGGTTGTAATCTACACAGTGGTTTTCAGGTTCAAAACAGGAATGCAAGCTGTGGGTTTGAGGACCGACAAACAATTCTCTTAAAAATATTATGACGGGTATGTCAAATTGAACTTTGGGTCATTGGACATTGATCTTCGAAAGATTTAACTGAATTTACTCCACGGGTATTGTAGTGAATGAGCCCACAAAGGAACCAATATCAGCATAGTTTTGTCGAGTTGGGTAAAGTGACTCGGTCTTTATCTGATTTGCATTAGATGACTGCAGTCCAGAGCATTTTCAAAATTAGAGATGAAAAAGAGGGAAACATTTAGTAACAATCTTTAAGAAGTTTCATGAGAGGCTTTTGCGTCCCAATAGTTCGAATGAAATCAATTCTTGCTTAAGCTTTTGTGAATTGTTGCTTATTTGGTTTTCTCAGGCTATTCTGGAATTATGGCAACGTTTTATCAATGAAAAACCACATATATTGAGGGATATCATATCGATGTGCATTCTCATGCTGTGTTGTGGGATATCTTAAGCTTTTCAAGATGTGGCTAGGTTGGGAACCACAGGCAAGTGACGTGGTGATAGTGCTCGCTTGATGCTTGTGCTGCATATTGAAAGAGAAAAACTGAAGTAATTTGATGGGGTGGAATTGTATTATTTTACAAAGTGAAGCAAGCACAAGGTTTGAGCTTTTTCCTAGATTTGATCATTAGCTAGCTTTCATTGTTAGGCATGTGTTTTTAGTCTGACCCTGGCTGGGCTCTTGTAAATTCAGCCCTTAAAGCCTTGTTATCTTCAAGAAAATAATATTTCAAGCAGATTTTTGGTTTATCCCACCTTACCCACTTGACCTAATGTAGGCAACCCTGAGTACCACCTAATGAACTTCTATGGTCCCAGCATGGGTACACCGTACACTCCCTGTGGAGTGCTTGGAGCCTTGGACACCTCGTACAAAGGGGTGTAATCTGCCATAGGCAACCATGTCCACCCACCCTTGCATGTAATTTTAGGAGTTTGAAGTCATAAGACAATCAACTAAAGTTGAGGTCTGCCTTGCTAGTAATCTTTATCCCACCTAACCTTGTTCTTTAAGAAGTATTTTCTTTGACTCCCCCTTTGGTTGTAATATGAATTGATGTTGTACTGTTTATTCTGCACCCCATATATCATAACTTCGTATGGATCTCCAGGTTGAAGATATTTAATGGTGTGTGCACCTGTTCCTTAATAGTGCTGGAAGGACCTCGTTCTATCTGTTTGCTATATGTAGAAGATAAAACATTGTTCTTTATTTGATGATGCCAATGACATCGTGGATAGATCTTTCACATTGTCAGAATTAAGGCTGAGATAGCGGTTGATAGATTATGTGTAGGAACTGTGGCTATTATTTTTTATTGGGTTGGGGTGGCAGGTCATTTATATTGCCGTAGTTGTATGTTGCTAGCTGATTTGTGGATAATTTTTGACACCTCCTACCAGTAGCATCCTCTGAAATTCACTACTATGTTCTTGTTATTATTGAAATGACAAATCTATTGAGGATAATTGCAATGAGTTTTGGTAATTAAATGCCAAACTTCAGGGGTCTAGGTGTAATTGTCCCAAACTATTAAGCCCATCATCCTGAAACCCCAAAATTCCACTCCTCCCAGTTTGATAGATCGACGACGGCCTCTGGAATTCTCCTTTTCTCTGCCTCTTACTCCTTATTCTCCGTTTTTGTCTTCGATTCCTATTATGGATTGGACACAATGGTTTATATCACATCGTGGGACGATTTTGTGGAAAAATCCGTCCAATTGCTTCGTGCCGATCCCAAGAGAGTAATGATTTTTTTTTGTCGGTTTTTCTTGCTTTTAAGAATAATAGGGTAGTATGTGTAAATTGTTAATAGTAAGAGGGTGTATGTGTAATTCGTATTACTGTAGGTTAACTATAAATACAAGTGATGTATTAGAGTTAGGTTAAGTTTTAATCTCTCTCTGTTTCTCTCTAATATTGTGTTAATTTTCCACAAGTAACATGGTATCAGAGCAAGTACGATCATAAATATGTATTCTGACTAAATTAATTTTGTTCGTCGTGGTGGTACTGTTGTCTGTTTGTCGAAACCATCGTGGTGGTGGTGGTGGTATTGTGTTATTTGCTGTTGTTCGGCGGCTGTGGTCGTGGTGGTGTGGCTGTGGTTTGTGGTGGCTGTTGTGGTGGTCCATCGTTGGTGGTGAGGCGTGGTCTGTGGTGGTTGTTGTGATCGCTGTTGTGGTGGTTACTATGGTCGGTTCGTGGTTCGAGTGGTCTGTGGTGGCTGTGTGGTGGTTCGTCGTCGACATGATCTGTGGTGGCTGCTGTGATCGGTTTGTGGTTGTGGTGGTTTGTATTGTCGGTGGTGAGGTGTAGTGGTGAGGCACGGTGGTCGTGCGCAGTGGTGAGGTGCTGTTGCGTTTTCTGAAACCCTAACCAGCGAAGAAGAAACAGCCAGACCTGAATTCACTTCGGGTCAACCCAAATCTGACCCAACCCATCGGTTCAGACTAATCCCAGACCGGTTCAGTGCTCCTTCAAAGAAAACCGGCCCGGTTCAGTGCTCCATCAAGCTAAACCGGCCCAGTTCAGTGCTCCAGCAAGCCAAACTGACCCGGTTCAGTGGTCCAGAGGGCTAAACCGAACCGGTTCAGTGTTCCAACAACCTTTTCTAGCCCGGTTCAGTGGTTCAGATATCTTTTTCAGCCCGGTTCAGTCTTCTAGCAATTTCTTTTTCTCTACTTCTACATTGTAACTCTTCTTGTTTACTATTTGCTACATTATTATGGAACCCAAGCAAGATACCAGGTCTCTTACTCCATCTTTGTCTCCAACCCTTATCAATGGTCCTATGACCTCTGTCAAACATAATAGGACTAATTACATTTTGTGGTCTTGATCTGTTCAAGTTTTTCTTCAAGGCAAAGGATTTAAGAAATATTTGGTGGGTTCTAAACCCAAGGAAAACACTCCTGGGTATGATCAGTGAGAACAAAAGGATGCTCAGATTATTTCATTATTGTTGAATAGCATAGAGCCCAGTATTAGCTCTTCTTTGCTCTATCTTGATACTACCAAAGAGATATGAGATTACTTGGCCACGATGTATTCTGGTACAAGTAATTTTACTCGTGCGTATGAGGTGTGTAAGGAGTACTTCCAGTTGGAACAAGGTACTCTGAGTCTTGCGGATTATTACTCTTATGTTCGAGGAGTCTGTGAGGAGATGAAGACTTATCATCCGTTTACTACTGATGCAGCAGTTTGGCAAAAATAACATGATTTTTGGTCGGATTGAAACCCGAATATGAGGCTATTCGTTCTCAGATTTTGGGTGGATCTAGTCTTCCATCACTGTTGGAGGTTTTTTCTCGTTTACAACGTGCTACACTGTCTACTCCTTCAGTCATTAATCATGGTGTCTCTACTGATCGCTCAGCTCTTGTGGTTCCTAATAGCCATAGTGATGGTCATCGTGGTGGACATAGTGGTCACGGAGTCGTACGTCATACAGGTGGTCGTGGGGGTTGTAGTGGATCCTGTTCTTGTACTCACTGTGGCCGTGAAGGACACACTGTTGATTTCTGTTGGGATTTACATAGAAAACCTTCTAGTATTGCTAATCAGGCTTCTTATCAGGATGATACTTTTGTTGTTGCTTCCATACCTCGATCAGCTCCACTAGACACTGGGTCGGTCGAGAGGAGTATGCTCAGTTTCTATCCCAGCAACAGGCTGTTCTATCTCCCTCCACTGCTACTTTTGCCCAGTCAGGTAATAATTCCACCTGTTTATTGTCCGCTACTCGCAGTCCTTGAATTATCGACTCTGGCGCCTCTGACCACATGACTGGTGCGTCTGACGTTTTCTCTACTTATCAGTCTGTTTCTCTACTTATTAGTCTGCTACTTCCACACGTAGTGTTATTCTTGCTAATGGTACTTGTTCTAGAGTTTCAGGTCTGGGAACTACTCACTTGAGTCCTGATATGTCCCTATCTTCCGTGTTATTTGTTTCTTAGTTCCCTTTTAGTTTACTTTCCATTAGTAAGATTACTCGTTCTCTCAATTGTTCTGTAACCTTTTACCCTTCTTATTGTGTCTTTCAGGATCTCAAGACGAAGAGGAAGATTGGTACGGGGCATGAAGCTGGTGCCCTATATTACCTTGACTTTAATTCACTTACCCAAGCTCTACAGACCTCGTTGTCTCCTTTTTAATGGCATTGTCGTCTTGGACATCTCTCTCTCCAGAATTTGAAGCGCCAAGTTTCTAGTCTTAGTTATGTATCGTCTTTGCCTTGTGAAACTTGTCAACTTAGTAAGCATCACCGTGTGTCATTTCAGTCTAGAGTTAATAATCGTGTGTCTAGTCCATTTGAATTAGTCTATTCTGATGTATGGGGTCCAATAAAGAATATTTTATCTAATAAATATCTTTTTTTTGTGACATTCGTGAATGACTATTATCATGTGATTTGGTTATTTTTGATGAAAGTTTGGTCTGAATTATTCTCTATATTTGAGACTTTTTGTAAGGAAATAAAAACTCAGTTTGGTTGTCGTATACGTACTTTACGTTCTGATAATGCTCGGGAATATGAATCTGATCCTTTTTCAGCTTATCGTAGTAAAATTGGCATTATTCATTAGACTTCTTGTACTTACACCTCTCCACAAAATGGTGTTGCTGAACGCAAGAATCGCCATTTGTTGAAAGTTATCCGTGTCCTGTTATTCCAGATGAATATTCTCCGATATTATTAGAGTGATGCTGTTCTTACTACTTGTCATCTTATTAATCATATGCCCTCCTCTGTGCTAAATGGGCAAAGTTCTTATTCTGTTCTTTTTCCTGGTAAGTCTTTATTTTCTCTGACTTCTAAGGTTTTTGGTTGTGTCTGTTATGTTCACAATTTGGGTCCTGGATTTGACAAACTTGACTCTCGAGCTACCAAATGTGTATTTCTTGGTTACTCCCACACGTAGAAGGGGTATCGTTGCTACAGTCCTTCTCTGCACCGATACTTTACTATATGTCACATTTGAAGAATCTGTTCCATACTTTCTAGCACGTTCTCAGCCTTTGGATTTGGAATTTGGATCCTCTCCTATATCACCATCCCTTTCCTTATCTTCAAATATTTCGTTGCCCACTGTGTTACCATTTACTTTACCTCTCTGTGTCTACTCTCGCTGTCCTCGCCCATCGACTGAAGTGTCCGTACCCGTCTTCCTTGTCGCCTTCGGATCCTAGAACTTCAGGTAATTTAGATTCTTTACCTATTGCTCTTCGCAAAGGTACTTGTTCGTGTGTTACTAATCATCCCATTTTTCATTTTGTTTCATATGATGCCTTGTCTCCTGTCTTCTCCTGTTTTACTTTTCAATTATCTGCTATATCTATTTCTAAGCATTTACAGGATGCATTATCTGATCCGGGTTGGAGGAAAGCTATGGAGGAGGAGATGACTGTTTTACATCATAATGGAACTTGAGATCTCGTTCCTTTATCCTCTGATAAAAGAACTGTTGGCTGTCGTTGGATGTATACTGTTAAATTTCACCCTGATGGTTCTGTAGAACGTCTCAAAGCCCAACTTGTTGCAAAGAGTTTTACTCAAACTTATAGTGTTGATTATGAGGAGACTTTTTCTCCTGTTGTCAAAATTTTCTCTGTTCGTATCTTGATTTCTCTTGCTGCTAGTCTTGATTGGCCCTTGTTTCAGTTAGATGTCAAGAATGCCTTCTTACATGGTGATTTGGTTGAAGAGGTCTACATGGAGTTGCCACCTGGGTTTACTGTTCAGGGGGAGTATGGTAAGAGTGTATGTCGGTTAAAAAAATCTTTGTATGGTTTGAAGCAGTCACCGATGACATGGTTTGGTAAGTTTTCAGATGCAGTTTTAGAGTTTGGTATTCTTCGGTGTCAGATAGATCAT